GAGCAGTAGTGATACCAAGGTTGGCCACGACAATTAAATTCAAGACATCTAACGCAACAACATCAACGGCAGCAGAATTGGCAGCACTTCGTGCCGCGTTGCAATGTGTATTTGATCAGCCTAACGCAAGTGGACTATTTTCTGCGACTCGAAGGCGGCACTGCAGTCTCTACTATCAGCCTTACGCCGTGGACCACATGAGCAGCTGGTACTAGAGATAGCAGAGGTTATACACCACCTGACTGAGAAAGGGCACCAAATTACATTTCAGTGGTTGCCCAGTCACTGCGGAATCATCGGCAATGAACGGGCCGATCAAGCTGCCCGCTCAGCCCACACATAAGATCATAAACTACGACTACCACTTTCTAGGACAGATGCTGCACGAAAGCTCCGCAGGCTTGCTCGCCAGCAAACCACATCACAATGGAATCAGCCACACTCCAAGCATGCCCGACTGTACTCGCTTGACCCTACGCTAAGTCTTCAAGTCCCATCGAGGCTTTGCTGAGCAGACCAGACCCTGTTAAGTAGGCTGTGGTTGGGTGTTGCGTTTACGAACGCCTAAGCTTTCCGCATTGGGATGGCCGACACCGCAGCCTCTGGCCACTGTGGTAAAGAGGAAACAATCCAACATATTCTTTGTGACTGCCTAGCGTATACAACGACTATGCCTTCGCAAGGAACTCGATAAATTAGATGATCAACCTCTGCCGGAGCAGAAAATTCTGCAGTATCGACAGGATGCGACTTCACAGAAGAGGGCCCTGAAAGCGCTACTACACGTTTTGCGATCGACCGGCCTTACTGAACGGTTGTAGCTAGGACGCCCTTCCTGTGTGTGTTTTCGTTTTCTTATGAGTGCGCGTGCGTTTTTTTTTTCTCTATCTACCCCTCTTTCTTGCCCCTACTTCCCCGCCCCCAACGCTGGGTAGCAAACCAGATGCCAATATCTGGTTAACCTCCCGGCCTTTCCTTTCTCTCTCTCTCTGTTACACATTACCAGAAAATTATGGTGCTTGATGTGATGCATATGTTTTTAATGAAAAATACAACCTTTTCGGGTAAATTGAAGCCATGCCTTTATTATTACGTGCATATTGTTGTAGGCAAGTTATAATAATGATACTTATTAGTGTTATTACCTAACTTATACTTAGTGTCCGACAGCAGTGCCACACCTGGCATTAGTGAACCCAGAAATAGAGGCTCCAGGCTCCAAAAGACAAAATGCCAGGCACAAGCGAATCTCTTCCAAAACCACAAAAAGATATTTCTAAAAGGGTTTTTCGTGCTGTAATAAACCGCCTGCAGGTAAAAAAAGAAGTGACCTTTTGTTTCCAGTTCACCACAGAACGTGCACAGTAAAAGTTTGCTGGAAAAAACAGTGGTGTGTATCTCGGCAGTTAGAAATTACAATCACCGAAGTACGATGCAGAATCCCGCACCTGAATTATTACCTACATAAAGCTGGACTCACAGCATCTCAATTGTCTCTTTTGCAAGAAATTAAAATTAATAGATCATTTCTTTATATTCTGTCACCGATATTCTTATTAAAAGAAAGATCCCTGGTCGAACCAATTGAGAAGCAGGGTTTAAAAATAAACGTCGCAATAGTTTTATCCCTAGGAGGGATTACATTAGGTTATAGCCACAGGGAGGTTTGCTCTGCTGTGTGTGCGTACATATTGGCAACAAAAAGATAACCTTGTTAGTCCATTTTTATTAATATTTTAGGCTCCGAGACTACCTGAATGCCTGACTGCTCGCTCATGTAGCATTTTCTACATTTTAGGATTTGTTTTTGCTTTATACTGAAATTCTACTTACCGATTTTAAATGCGTAACTAACTCACTTGATCCTGCCGCCCAGTTTTGGCCGATCCCCCTTTGTGGGCGAGTTCCAGCAAAGCAAAGGATCATCATCATCATCATCATCATCATCATCATCATCATCAACGCGCACAGTGGTGCCTGAGCAGACCTGTGTTTTTCGAAATTTAGGTTAGGTACCCTACAGGTCCACTTCGTGATAGCTAGTTGATGAGTTTAGAACATCCCCGTAAACTTAGTCGCCTACAGTTCCTACACAGCATCATAAAAGGGGAAATTGGCCATCAGTTGCCTCGTTTTTCGTACCCCTAAAAACACGGTCAACTAGACACAGACACAACTTCTCTTTTACGCCAATATTTGCTTAAACGAAATCTCACATGAACAGTTTTTTTTTTCGCACACCATAACAGAAAGGAACTCCTTACCTGTTTACGTATTACAATTGAAGAACTTTACAAAAGAATTAGCAAACCAATTCTCTTGAACTTGAGTCTAAATATGAGCAGTATTTAAATTAGAAGAGTGAAACTTTGGGCTAGTTGGTATTGCATGATGAAGAACGTACAGCGCGAACACAAGACGGGAATACTAAAGATGGGACACGGACAAGCGCTGTCCGTGTCCCATCTTTGGTATTCCCGTCTTGTGTTCGCGCTGTACGTTCTTCATCAGTATTTAAACTTTTCTTGCAATTGTGTCGTAAATTCCATGTGCTTGTAGTGCCCTTTTATTGTCTTAAGAGTGTTTTATCGTAGTTTATAACCTGTGTAAAATATTTTGCAGAGCAAGCGTCTTGCACTGTTTGGTTTTATTCTTGCACTGCTAGTAGTTTGTGAATGCTTTGTCATTGTAGTAGTGCGTTTGCCTCTCCTGCATAGGTCAGCATATTGGCCTCTACAATAAATAAATAAATAAATAAATAAATAAATAAATAAATAAATAAATAAATAAATAAATATATTCACCTCGCACTCTTATTCTAGTTCATCAATGTCATTTTCTATGCACTGCATCATTTCTTGGTTTTCCTCTCCGGCTTTTGCCCCTGTCCACAAGTATACAAAACCCAGAAGCGTCAGTTGCCCTGCAACTTTACCTTTTAGCCATAAATGTTCCCGACACTCCTGTTTAACTCTTTGCCAATCTGAACATTTATGAATAAAGGCTCCACTTCGTCCCCTCTTTCGGCGACCTTCTGTTCTATTACAATATTCCCATGCGTAGTCCGGATTGCTAGGTGGTAGTTTCATGTTACCAAGATGTGTTTCTCCAAACCCATATACCATCAGCTTCTCCTCCATTAGTTGCTTTTATATCTCTCCCCACTTCAACTTATTCCTACCTACCTTCATCTTAATATACCCTTTGCTCGGCCCTCGTGCCTACATCACTTTCTCCCCCAGACTTTAAATGTCTTAGACAGTGGTGTGGCTTGTAATCGCATCTATCTATACCGTTTGTCAAAAAATTCACCTGGTTGCTTTCCTCGTTACTAGCTATTCTGAACAACGAATGGCCCGCGTGCCCCCCAAAAAAGCTACTTTGTGTCCTGCAAGTCGCCAACTCACTCATTGACGTAGCCTCCTATCTAAGTGAATTCTGTCTTGTTGAAAACCACCCCACTTAGGCACCTGTCTGTTTATTTCCCCAACCTCAAAGCCTTTTTCCCGACTCATCTGTCAAATCTCTTTGTTTGCATCGGCAACCGCTCTTCGAAGGTTGCCGCAACGCACCGGTACCTCCGGTATTATTTATATCACCGCCTGTGCCTTTAGCTAAATGGCGCGCATGTCATCGACCCCTTTCTACAGTGTGGTCTCAAGTCCTGCTGATTCTTCATTCAAGATATCGTACGGCCCGAAATTATCACGAGGTTGCGTTCATTAGCTTTATTTGTGAGTTTTGTGCTCGCTTGCCTGATGACTGCTTTTAGCTTAAGTCCTGGGAACGTCTCTACTGAAACCCGGTTCTCGCCTTTTATGCTGCTTTTGATTTCTTCTGAGCATTGATTTAAATTTGAGTCCCTGGCAATAATTACGTGCTTAGACATGTTAGGCTGTTCCGCATCTGGTGGTTACTTGCACCCATGATGCCAGCTGCTTCGTCCCCTCCCACCCTCACCACTACTTCGCTGAAGCTTGATCTGGTGACAAATGAAGTGGTTGAATTCGTTTTTTCCAAACCTGTTATCTCTTTATTCTCCGCTATTCTGGGTGCCGGTGCCCTACCGCTCTCTCCATCGGCCGCTCCTTTGTTCACATTCACTAGTGCCTCCTCGACCTAGCTAAGCCCTTTTCCCGTAAACCTAATTTTTTTCTCGCTCAATGCAGTCTCCAGCTCGGCAATTCTCATCAGTAGTTTATGATGAGAAACAATGATGTTCCCCACATTTTCCCTCGACCTCGCATTGCCTACACTTGGCATCGGCCTAATTTTTGTTTGCGTCCGCATTACCCTCCAATTTCAAAACCAGCCCGCGTCCCGAAAATTTCGCAATGTTTTAACCATGTATTTTTGACACCAAATGTCCTACCGAATTGCCACAATTGATAACTAGAATACGCGGCGTACGACGAATGTTGCCCTAAGCAAAAAAAAAAGTTTAATACCAACTGCAAACATTTGCGTGTTCGCTGTACGTACACCTTTACCACGGGGTGGCAGGAGAAAAAAAAACATACAAAGAAGTAATTTCAGGCGACTGACCCCCCCAAAAGCTATACGATGCTCTAAAAGTCTACACTGCTGCTTATCAATTATTAAAGCAAGCTCGAAACATGCAAAAACATTATCTCCACTGTCGATCGGGAGCCCACACAAAACACGTCCATCCGTCATGTCAGTCCGAAACCACAGGGTGCTGCATCACCGCACGGGGTGCGGTGATGCAGCGCAACGACGCGCTTTCAGCTTCGTGACTAGTCAAAGTATTAAAGGACTCTGGTAGTACCGACTTCTCGTTTAGTCCTTGAAATTTCCGCTGAATGGCGGTGCTTGTATATGATGAATAGAGTTACGGTATATGCCACCTTTAGGTAGCACAGTTGTGCCGCTGATAAAACTCGCCACTCGCGCCCACATTCACCAAGCGTGCTCATATGCACAAAAAACGTCCATTTTAGTGATAGCCTATTTATGGCCACGTGGGTGCTTGCGACCAGTGTGCCACTGGCGCCACTGCCACCACTGCCCAACAGTCCGACAAGGCGATCCAGGTGAGTGCGCAAGTAATTCTTCATTTGTGTTGTGATTGCGTCTTGTGTGTTGTCCGTTTTTTGCGAACGTCAGTGTTTGTGGTGTCTGCGCGGTGCAGCGCCGTGACTCAGTACTGCGTAGCTGCTTCGATGACAGGATGTCACAACTATGTAATAAATATCCTAAAAATTCTCGTTCGCTTGTGTTATTTGTAAAACACTAAAGAATAGTTCTAGCGATTGTTTCAGAGTGACCTGCTTAATTGTTTTAGCGGCAAAAAAACTGCGTGAAGCGAACGATCTGTGGAACTTATGTTGTCGCGAAGTGTGCACATGGATCTGGACAAATCAAGCCAATGCTTTCTTGTTAGCTATGTAGAATAAAAAAAATCTTACTATTTTGCGGAAGTGATTCCCTTATGGAACACATCTTGCGGTCTGTGCTGTAATTTCCGCGTTCCACAGCGCAACAGCGGGGTCTCAAGCCCCCTACATCGCAGTGATGGATGTACAGTCCCCGGAGATCCCGCCCAGTACCAGTTCATCCACGGGCATTGCTTCAAGAAAGCGTGGTAATTCATCATCAAAGTAATCCATCAAGAGCGAGGACACCGAGCTGTACTCTTCATCAGACTACGAGTTCTCGGAAGACGGCTTCGAACCTGTGCTCTACCGCAAGGCCAAACGAAGAATCGTAAACGCATCATCGGCATCAAGTACAGCCACTGTGAGGACAGCGCCTCAGCGATGGCCGCACAGTGGCCGCAGACTGTTTGTGCCACAGACTACTACTGCCAACCTACGCATCCTCAACAGGCAAGCACTGTCCTGGTACCTTGAAAACATTGTGCCTAACGAGATTAAGGACATCGGAATAAACACGAGGAAGAATATGTTGGTAATCGAATGAGGAACCCGAGTGCACTGAACATGCTACAGCATGTGTCGGAGCTGGGAAACATCAAAGTCCGATCCATCATACTAGCGAATGGTGACACTGTAACAGGAGTTATCTATGACATTGACACTGAAATCGCCAATGAAGGTTTTCCTGTACTGATAAAACCAGTGCGTGAAAACAACGTCATAGTACATGCTGGTCGCCTAGGCAACTCTCGGTATGTGCGAATAACATTCAAGGGTGACTGTCTTCCCTCTTACGTGAAGGTTGGCCATTTCCGTCACCAGGTTCGCCCATTTATTCCGAAGCCTATGCAGTGTTTCAAGTGCCAGAAGATTGGCCACATGAAGGGCGTTTGCAGAAATTCCGCAGTGTGCCCCCGATGTGCTGAACACCACTCAGAAGACGACTGTAGTGCAACTACGTTGAAATGCCCCAACTTCCACGGCACTCACAGTGCTTCCTCGAAGGACTGTCCTCAGATTAAGAAAGAGATTTATATTGTGAGGCAAATGGTGCGAGACAACTCGACTCACAGAAAAGCTGCGCAAAAAGTAAGGCGAAGGCGCCGTCATCGTCGAAGGTCTTCACGAAGGACAGTGCAAAATCTGACGAGAAAGTGAGAAACTCAAGTGAAATCGACAGGCGCGGCTCCTAGCACGGCAAACATCTGCGCTGAAGAGATGCTGGGAGATCTCTCTCTCCAAAGGAATGGTCAGCCCTTGAGCCTAGACGATCTGTTGAGCCTAAACAGAAGCCGCCTACACCACCTGTTGAGCCTCAACAGAAGCCGCCTCAAGAACAAGCACAAGATGCTGCAACGGACGGGAAGCCAGATTATCGCGTGATGGTAATGCTAAGATCATTAGTGTACACCATTCACATGTTGTTAAGCAACATGAATACACCGTCAGCCAAAAGTGCCCTACAAGTACTGGACGCGCTTAGTCCAGTGCTAGCAGACCTAGAGTAAACCATTGCATTTCCGATGGAGGCGGTAATGTTGTAGGCCAGTGTGCTCAGATTTGGGTGCACGTTAAAGAACCCCAGGTGGTCGAAATTCCCGGAGATCTCCACTACGGCGTCTCTCATAATCATATGGTGGTTTGGGACGTTAAACCCCACATATCAATCAATTAGAGTAAACCATGGCTAACCCGCCACTGTCTTTCAGGGATGAGGTTTGTAAAGCATCAATACTGCAGTGGAATGCCAGGGAACTGAGATCGCGCATTGGCGACATTAATCGATTTGTGTACGTCAATATATTTCCTGTAATCGTCGTCTGCGAGCCGAACTTATCGATTGCAATACCACTTTCGGGATACGAAACATTTATGTCGTCTACTGTAACTGAAAGCAGCAAGGTTCTGGTGTACATTCGCCGAGACCTCATTTACATCCTTCAACCTCAACCACCTCATGATGGAAACCAATACGTATGCTTAAGAGTGAAAAAGAGGAGGCTCAACATCACTGTGGCTGGCGCATACCTATCACCATCAAGCTGTTCCGATCAAAAAAGACTACGAGACATCATAGCGTAAACTTCTGACCCGCGTGTTATCATTGGGGATTTTAACGTTCATCATACATTATGGGGAAGTCAGAATACCAACATGAAGGGCAGAAGCTTGGTGTCCTTTGCCTCCGACAACAAACTTTGGTTACTGAACGATGGCAGTCCTACATTTTTACGTGGCTCCACATACAGTAGCTGTCTCAACTTGGCTTTTGTTTCGCGAAGCCTAGTGAAACATATTGAATGGTTCACGGATATAGAAACGTATGGGTGTGACCCAATTCCAACATACGTCAAGATCACAGGATTGTCGCCTCCTAAAGTGCGCGACATGGTTAATAGAGTGGACTGGCAAAAATTTCAGTCTCGTATGGAAGACCAATGCAAAGAACACATATCCGATTTACAAGAGGCCATCAAGAACACTGTAAAAGAGATTGTGTGTACGATCCCATGCCCTGTAAGAATCATGGACATCGACATAGAGCTGGAGCAGCTTCGAGCCTTACGACGACGAGCTGAGAGAAGGTACCGGCGCACGAAGGACATAAAAGATTTACGGACTGCTAGACGTACGCAGAAGAAGATCAAACGTCGGTTGGACAAGCTAGAATTCCGACGCTGCTTTTCTTTCTGCGAGTCACTAGACCCTCGTAAGCCTTTATCGCAGATATGGAGGATGGTAAGAGGTTTGCGGTAATCCCCCATTCAGAAGTCACCATTCAAGGCCTTAGCCCTTCACCAAAATCGACCAGATGTGGACGTTGCTAAAGAGTTTTGTGCCGAATTATCAGGGCAAACTACAGCACTTAGCAGCTCACCACTTTCGAGCAGTTGTACACCACCACGTGATTCCTGTATGGACTTCCCGTTCACCATTCAGGAGCTCAAGGCAGCACTCGCTTCATGCAAACGTACCTCCGCACCAGGACCTGACGGAATCTCCTACAGAGCCCTGTGTCATCCGGGTGAGCGCGCGAGAATAGCTCTACTTCAGCTATATAATGATTGTTGGCTAGAGGGCGCTGTCCCCTTAAGTTGGAAAACTAGTCGTCTAGTACCACTGCTAAAACCTGGCAAATCACCATTGGAACTCTCCTCCTATCGCCCGGTCGCATTGGCTAGTTGCGTGGGCAAAGTGATGTAGAGAATGATTCTCGGCCGACTCGAGTGGTACTTGGAGTATCATGAGATCTACCCAAACGCTAAGGCTGGCTTTCGACGTGGTCGATCATCGATCGATAGCGTCATCAACCTAATCACGTACGTTGAACACGAGAAAGGCCATAAGCCTCTTTGCGCCTCTCTATTCCTTGACGTCAAAGGAGCCTATGATAACGTTACCCATGAAGCCGTCCTTACCGCACTAGAAGAGATTGGAGTGGGTGGCCAAATGTTTAAGTGGATACGCAGTTATCTCCAAATGTGATCCTATTTTGTGAGTACACAGGCCGGGAACACGTCTGCACATTTCAGTTGTCGTGGCGTCCCTCTGGGTGGTGTACTCAGCCCCGTGCTATTCAATATAACACTAATCGCTCTTCATACGCACCTACCAAACAATATTTATCTATAAACATATGCTGATGACATCTGCATCTGGACATCTGCGGTAACTCACCTGTAGTTACGAGCGAGAATACAGAGAGCTGCTACTGCAACTGCTTTGTATCTACGCAATCGAGGCCTGGTAATTTCCTCCGGAAAGTGCGCTCTTCTGGCATTTACGCGCAAACCAATGTCGAATTGCAGAGTGTCAATTAACGATCAAAATATTCCATATTGTCGATCTCACTAATTTCTGGGTGTCATAGTCGACAGAGACATATAATGGAGCCCTCATGTGTCGTACTTGAAAAAGTGATTGACAGGCATATGCCATCTTTTCAAGTTTCTCGCTGGAAAGACTTGGGGAATGCAGCCTAATAGTATGTTACGACTGTACAGGGTGCTTTTGCTTGGCTTTTTACGATACAGTCTGTCTGCATTATCAAACTCCAGCAAAACAAGTCGACGCATGATACAAAGCGTTCAGTCACAGGCGCTTCGAATATGTCTAGGCCTGCCTCAGGGTCCCTCAACAGTGGCGACTATAGGTTTAGCCAAAGACCACCTCGTGCAGACCTACATTGAAATGGAAGCTTTGAGGACACACATAAGGCATGTGGGCCGGACTCCCCATCACCACCTAGCCTTTCTACCAGCGGATAGGCCTCATACTTCCTTTTGTCGAACAATAACTACACATACTGACTCCCTACCAACTGGTTTTACGCCCGCGGCGAGACCTTCAATTCCTCCATGGTGCCTCAAACAGCCAGTCATCAACCTGACATTACCAGGCATCCAGAAAAAACGAGATTTCTCAATACCAGCCCTCAAGCAGCTCGCCTTACTTCTGCTGTACGAGAAGTACCAAGACTGCACCCACGTCTACACCAATGGCTCCGTCCTGCCGAACAGCTCAACTGCGGCGGTCGTTATTCCAACGCACGCCACAACCATCAAATTCAGGACAGCTCATGCAACCACAACAATGGCAGTAGAGCTTGCACCACTTCGCGCTGCGCTGCGTTTCATTAACGACCAAAGCACGCA